AAAGATTGGCCTTTTATGATGTAAAGATGTAAATTATTGCCTTGACTTATGATAAGGTTGGTAGGTACTTGGTTGACTAAGGTGACTTTTCTGAATGATGTCTGATTTATCGTAAGTGATAAAGCTTATAGCTATTCCATCAGTTACAACAGTGTAGATAGCCTGAAGTGGTACAACTATATTTATCATTTAAGAACTGCAAGAGCTAAAAATGGTTGTCTGACGTGCTCAGTTGAACAAACTTCACAGGATCAAGCGACAAAACCAGATAGGTCCGGACAAAAGAACACTTGACCTGGTACAAGCCAGCCGTGACCAGCTCCGGGTTAAACTTTCTAGTCACACAGTTAAAGTAGCACTTTGGAGATGGCTGGAAACAAATACAGTACATACCAGATTAACATGTTTACGTAGAGGCATTCTTGACCTGTTACATGTTGAGTTTGTCCTGACCTGCCATGGAGCCAGCTCAAAATACTCCACCATGAAATGGTACAAGTGACCTGTGTTTTCATTGAAATGCTAATAATGCTTTCAATAAATTAAGTTTGACTTAGTTGATTTGTCTCTCTTCCACAAGGTAAACGGCGATTCAACATCAAGTTGTGGAAGACATTCACAGACTGTTTCAACTGCCTCCCCATTGCCGCCATTGTGGATGAGAAGATATTTTGCTGTCATGGAGGTTAGTATCCTGAAGTGGTTCTAGATTTTTTTCACATCCAAGAATTTGTTTTTACCAGTATTTCAAGGTAACCTGTGGAATAGATTAGGCAATCTAAAATGAACAATAAATTGGATTGTGTGCATATCCCTACAGTGGTGATTGCAGTAGATAGGCAAAGGCTTTCAGAATTGCTTCTAATACTGATGTGCACCTTCCTAAAGTTTCTGGCCATCCAAAACTTCAGTGATTATAGGTGTTTTGGTGCTATGTTAATAATCACAGCAATATAGAAGTACATGTACAGAGATTAGTACCAGAAAATGATTATGTACATGAGATAGTTTATCTCTAGATATAACAAGTATTATACACACAAAAAACACTATTGATGCTCCTGTTCTAATAACAGATTACCAATACTACAGTTTTGAGAGGAAAACAATGTTCTGTCAACATGTTCATAGCACTTTTCATGATGGATAACACCCATCACTCTATACATCTAGCTAGGCAAACAGTTGGTATTTATGTCAATAGAGTCATATCCTGTTATGATGTTATCCAACCTTACAATAATGCTTGGGTGGTAGTAAGACTAAGAGGTTTCGCTTTTAAGGGAGAAAATCCTGGAACGAAGGAATGGTAAACACATTGGGTGTTCCTCACACATGACATTTCTAGGGTATGGTTGTGTATTTAGCATGTGCCATAGTCAACAAGAGGGGTGTTGGTTTGTATGGAATGTTAATCACTGTTCTGGGATACCCATTTGTGAGGAGAAGGATTGATGATAAACTAAGCACTGGAGGGAGGAAGATAAGAAAATGTAAATGTGCTTGTGATTTAGCCAGGCTGTTTTCAGATAAAAACAAACTCCTGAGTTGGAATTAAATCAGCCCGTTTGTGTGAGTTTTAAACACCAGAAGCACATGTGGTCCAGAAGAAGGTCTAAACTGTTTATCACCAATCCTGAACCTGAATCATGGCTCAAGTTGAACACAATGTTTATTAACTTGAAATAGCCTACTTTCTGGACCAGACTATTTTGGGTAAACATCACAGTACAGTGCCAGTGTCTTGAGTACACATCAATTGATTGATAAAACAAACATGGTTAACATTTTATTTCCCTCTCCCTCTGCCAGAATCAGTTTTTACCTTCGCCAAGAAGGTTATGTTTTCAGGGGCGTTCGTGTATGTGTGTGTGTGTGTGTCTGTCTGTCTGTAAACACGATAACTTGAGAAGGCCTTGATGGATTGTCTTGATACTTGGTAGGTGGGTAGGTCTTGATGAGACCTCAAAATGATTAGATTTTGGACCCCCTAGCAGCTTGTTATGGTACTGCAGCTGAACTTCCGGTTTTGATATCTCATGATCTAGACATGCTATGGTGATGAAATTTGGATGGTAGGTAGCTCTTGTGCTGGGGAAGAAGTGACGTGAGTTTAGGCCCCCTAGCGGCTTGCTCTGGAACTGCAGGAATATATTCTTGAAAATATTCAAAAGGGGATAACTCAAGAACCAGTTGACGGATCGTCGTGATTTTTGGTATGTAGGTAGCTTACGTGATGCTTAATATAATTATGTGACAATTATGCAAATATGGATGTAATTTGCATAATTTATGGGGAAATTCTATAAATCATCTGCATTCCATGATAGGACAATTGAAGCTTGTGACATTGGTAATTGACAACCAAAAAAACCACAGGAAGATATTGATTATGTTAATAATGACTTAATTTGCATAATTAATGAGAAAATTTTATAATTATGTAATGATAACTGCCTGGAATTTCATACTTGTGGTATTTGAAAGTTGAATTGAGGTGAACATCATTGAACATAATTTATTCAAATTTTGGACGTCATTTGCATAATTTATTAGGAAATGCTAGAATGCATTGTTTGTTAATATAAGACTGTCTTTTGGTTGAGATTATGATAAAATGATATAATTCATGAAAATTAGGTTCCTTAGTCTTAAATCAGGGGGGAATAATCTAATCTATAATTTGTCAGTCATAAAGATTAACATCATTTGGCGAAGGTATGAGATCGGGGAACTCTAGTATTATTAATTGTGAACCCCCTCCTTCTCTTAATATATGAAGATTAATCCAGGCTATAGGAATGGAGATGCCTGACAGCTGTGGCAAACATGACAGATCCAGTGCAAATAAGGAAAAAACACCTCAAGAACTTAATCATTTGGTCAATATTTATTGGGACCAATTGATCAACACTTCCAGTGTTGTTTGTACTACTCTGACATTTACAGTGTTTGGAGGGATGGGATTTTAAATATAATCAGCCATTCTGAGAAATGAATCCATGAAGGTAACCATGGTATTTCAGATGAGAAAATGTAACCTGTCATATAAATCCCAATGAGCAGTTAGTTAAAATGCCATGCAGGCCACTTTGATTACGAAAGATATGACATTTATGATTACTATAACCAGCATATGCATTATGTATTCACAAGTGCTTTATTGCTATTCTTAGAAGACGATGTTGAGGATTTTGAAGTTGGTTCATTGGTGTGGATAGTGAAACTGGTGTGAATATTGAAATGACATCACTCACAGTACATTTGTACATGTACAATCAATCAAATCCTTGCATTTCAGGACTGTCCCCAGACCTTCAGTCGATGGAGCAGATCCGCCGTATCATGAGGCCGACTGATGTACCAGACACAGGTCTGTATCTGCATACTCAGACTATAGTTGTTTTGTAAATGAAATCTTGGCAGCTGTCACAAGTCTTGAGAAAGACTTGTGTTTTTACAATTACAGGTACTCACAATGATTTTTGTTCCATTTTTTTAATAGTGTAGTAAATTCTGTTAGTCAACATTCTGATTTTTATTTGATGTAAAATTGATTTGTTTTTTCAATGGTACATGTAGGTTGATGTTTTTTCAATACTCAATAATGACAACATTGTTTACACAAGGTATCTATGATTGCAGCTTTTGGTTTGTTTTTTTACTTCCCAAAGTATTTTTGACATGATAGAAAAGATGTCAGTCAGTGAAGATTTGCTGTGGTACTATGATCCCCTGCAGGTCTCCTGTGTGACCTGTTGTGGTCAGACCCAGACAAGGATGTGCAGGGCTGGGGAGAGAACGACCGCGGAGTCTCCTTCACATTTGGTGCAGACGTAGTCAGTAAATTCCTCAACAGACATGACTTTGACCTAATCTGCAGAGCACATCAGGTGGGTGTGAAAAAGTATACAATCAAGGACCAATTTGTGTATGTCAAATAAGTACACACAACATGTACTACCATGAAGCAAATATCCTGATGATCTTGAAGTGAAAATTCAGGGGACATTTGAGCACAGTTATAATGTTATCTTATAATGTTATACTATGCAGGGATCAAAATACTTTTTTCAGGTACGTGCAAAATTGCCAAATTTTAGGTGCAGTTTGAAAAATTTATGTGCAAAATTATGTTTAGTCCATCTGCAACTGTTTTCCAGCTGGTTTGTCACAAACACTAGAGAAACTGTTGGAACTTCCTGAAATTAAAAAACATTTTATATGGCACATTAAGAAGTCTGAGAGTAATAAATTATTTCTATATTTGCATATTGGTTTCCCTTGATTATCCTGCACAATATCATAAAAGTAAAATGTACTGCTTATGAAAATAACGTATGGTTAATTTTTGCTTCTTTGCCTGCAATGCGCCTCCCGTGTACACTATATGACATCCAGTAGATTTCTAGCGGGGACCAATCATAGGGCTGCTGACGCGTCACCGACTAGCGGCTATTAGCACCTTGTTTCATGTAAATGCCATGAACTCAACCAGAGCGCGTATATTGTTTCTTGTTTACATCAGTACTAAGTACTAGTACTTCCACAATCAGTTAGTAAAGTCATACCTTAGTAAAATCTACTTTGATGAACAAATCAAAACAGGACTGTAGACATTAAGTTTTACACATTCAAATGTGGCTGCACTAGCGCTAATGGAGCGACCACTACGTACGGGAAGGAACGGATTTTAGCGAAGCCGAGATTTGTGAACCAAACCCAACCCATCGAAGACGGGCCGCCAAACATAAAAATGGAGGGAAATGACAGACAACAAACCAACAAAGACAACATCACCAGACCAACAAACTTGGAAAACACCACTTCAAGCGCTAACGTTGTAAGAACTGTGGAACCTCAAACTAGTATGTTTGCGTCAGTGGAAAGGCTGTCGAAGTAACCACTACATGAAAAACTGCGGCGAAAAAGTAACATGGGTTCGTCCCAAATCTAGACGCAAGTGAGCTACAAAAGTAATAGAACCTATGCATCTTGCTTGTTGCTGTCAACTTACCCGTTAAAGATTGAACCGATACATGTACGTACTATAACTTGCCATACCCTGCCAAACACGACTACATTACTGTTACTCTTTATTTTGTGCTGTATAATGTTTATGCGTTACATTATCTATCATTGTCATTTCTGTGAATTCCTTAAAACATCTACTGTTAGTTTGTGTAACATTACGTAGTGCTACAATCTGCGTAAAATGTGGGCTTCATTACGTGTTATCTGCTAAGTCGTGTTGGTATTGAAAACTGTTTTATTGTGCCGTTCTTCTACAAACAGCCAGCAGAATTATGAAGATACTCGTTCTCAATACACATGCTGCAAACTAAAGTAATGGCAGCCCTACGAAAATTCTGTTTGTAATGTGTAAGCGCTTTATGTCGACGTACAATGGGTGTGAAATACATGTTTTGCCCAGTCGTGTGCCACCGACTCGGTGGTAATTGGCTACTTTACAAGTGAAAGAACCGCGTCCGTGGGCCTTGATAAATTATTCAAATTATTCAGCAGCCCTCTGATTGGTCTCCGCTAGAAATTTACTGGATGTCATTCAGTGACGAGCCCCCTCCCCCTCCTACGCTACGTGCAAAATTGCAAATTCAAAATATTTTAAAGTGCATTTTGCATATTGCACATGAGTATTTAAAGCCCTGCTATGTTTGCTCGTAGTTGGCTTATGCAAACTTACAACTGCCCATATCTTTAGAGGTGTTTTGTTCTTTCTAGGTTGTAGAGGATGGTTATGAGTTCTTTGCCAAACGTCAGCTGGTAACGCTGTTCTCTGCCCCAAACTACTGTGGGGAGTTTGACAATGCTGGAGGCATGATGAGTGTGGATGAGACCCTTATGTGCTCCTTCCAGGTAAGAATGTTTCACTATCACCCCGTTCATACCAGACTTATATTTAGCGGTTTCAATCGGTTTTTCAAAAACCGGTTTTTATTTAACCTAGTGTGAACGCAATTCAACTGGTTTTTTAGGGGTTTAAATCCGGTTTTGAAGGGTACCTGCCATGGAGCCAGCTCCTGATACTTATTTTTGAAGAGCAGGAGTCGCCGAATTCGAAAAAGCTGGGGGGGGGGGGCTCTACCGAAACAAAAATGTTGGAGGAGCCTGGTTTTCGAAGATAAAGGTTCAGTGGCACAGTAAGATACAGACCCTGAAGACGGCATACAAGAAGACCAAGGACAACAATCGTAAGAGCGGGAGGAACAGTTATTCAAACTGCAGTCAAGGCCGATTAATTGGATATTCACCGGACAGGATTTTTACAAAACCAGTTATGGAAAGTCTGGTATGAACACTAAGGGTTTTAGCCGAGTTTTCCTTCGCTAATAGACCGTTCCATAAGCCACGCCCCCCTTAGCAACACCCTAGCAACTCGAACACCTCCGTCAAAATCAGCACGGGAAGGGCCGTAATGACTGCCGCCACCAGAATGTCAGATTTGCAGCCCAACTTTACGGTTGATTTTTCGGCAACGAAAAACTCTCCCAGGAGACAAAAAAAAATTGGTTAACCTATATTTGTTGAACGGTACATCCGCAGAGTAGAATTATTTTAGGAGGGGACAGAGGTAGTTTCAGTGAGAGCAAAATGTTTTCGCTGAATACAGACGCGGGATTGGCCGCATAAAATCACACGGTAGGTGGACAAGAGTGCCCGGTTGCTGACTAACAGCCGATACATGTGTGAAACAGAGTACGTTTATCTGTAGCAGGTTTTCCACAGCATTTGCTGCATGCATCACAGCTGCATACAAGCTCGGGAAAAAAACAAAATGGGAAATAAGAACTCACGGGGACTCACAAGGGAGGGCACAACTTACAAAGGGATTTGTGGTACAAGTAGAAAAATAAGCATGCAAACACGGACATAAACAGTAATGATAGCTTATGAACAACTGGAACGTCCTTAATCAAGTTGAAAGTGCATGCAATGTCACAAATTCAGTTTCACGTGTAAAACAAGGAGTCTTTATCAAGGAGACATCAACTCAGTTTGCTGCTTTTAGATTTCCCGCGCTGAGTTTGATGGAGGTGTTTGAAATAGAACAGTGGATTCGATGCGTTCGATCGTCCATTATTTAGCGGTTTCAACCGGTTTTTAAAAGTCTGGTCTGAACAGGATCTATGCTACTGGCAGCAAATTGACACAACACTGCCAACAGTTTTTGTAGAATTTGAAGGCAGTTAAGATGGACAATCTGTTTTTTCCACGCTCTTACACTATTTACCTTCATTATTCTTCTGCCTTTGTAGTTCAGCTCATTGAAGTTTACTGGACAGTTATTGTTTTGCTCAGTCAGGACGGACTCTACTGCAAGCTACAAGCCCCTACCTGGTGTGATTGAATCTATGAAGTACATGTAATATTGAATTTCATATGAAGCAGCATGAAAGACTTTATAAGCTTGTGGTATGGTGAAGTAAATCAGCTTTATGATTGTGAAATTTTGCTTTCAGATCCTGAAGCCATCAGAAAAGAAGGCGAAGTACCAGTATGGTGGCCTGAATTCTGGCCGACCTGTAACACCCCCAAGAACTGGCTTGCCTGGCAAGGGCAAGAAGTAAAACTCAAGTGGAGAAAATATTTACTCT